ATTCACATGTTGTTTCTTACCATTATATCATTACATAAACCAGTGTTAACTAGTTCGTATGAAGCCCTGGGTTTAAAAGGAATAGCTTCATATATGCGTCATGTCGGCTTGATTTAAATTAGCTTCAGTGTTAGCATGAACGTGGATTGTTTCTCAGCTTAATCAAATCAAGAACCCTTTATTGTTTTCAATTTTTGCTCCAACGGCCTCAGAACAATCAAGCGTGTGACCAAAAAAACGTATTCTTTTTGCCAAGGCTGGAAATGTTTCTTGTAGTCGTTGTATCAAACACAGACACTGACCTAAAAAAATGCTAAGAAAAAGTCAGTGTGACATATTTCTGCGTCTCCACTTAAACGCTAATCCAATCATCGAGCTAAAGCCTTCACGGCTGCTGCACATCACGACTGTTTACAAATCAAAACGTAAGTGCTCTGAACCACTTCGCATCCTTCCCCCTGTTCTAATCCAACGTTTTTGGCGTTGACGCTCAAACCATAATCAGATGTAATTGAGCGCAGGGATGCGATTGCCTCAGCGGATCCAGCAGTGACACACCAGCAGATGGCGTCCAGCCATCTGGTGACATGTGTACAGACAGAAAAGACAGACTGCAGGCGCCATCGTCTGCAACTTCATGCTACGCTAACGCGGAGCACGTACTCTGCTAATGTGCCAAATGTCTTCAGGAATGAAAATGAAGTGCTGAGCGACAACATTCCATTTTATTTATGTAAAGGAATTGAATCTCATTTATTAGTGCGCCGGCTTTATCTACTGCACATCAACGAAGGCTAGGTTTGAACTGCTGACGCTGCGCAGACCCCATACCTTAGATGCTGACGGTTAGCGCTGCAGTGTCATGAAGCTGAGTAAATATCCATAAAATGTTTTTTAATAAGAATTAGAATTTTTTTTAAATTACACTTTGTAACGTACGTAAGTCAAAGTCAAAGCTAATTTTGATCAGTTTGAAAAAATGCTACATTTTGACATCCTAGCTTAATTTATTTATGTTAAAAATGGTTAAGATATTAAGATTTAATGTTAGCGGTTACTATAACGGATGGATTATTATTATTTTCTTCAACATGTTACACTCATGTTACAGGTACTGATGTGTTACAAGCAACAATGTTACAAAATTATATAGCAATATAACGATTCCGAACCGAAATCATGACGTCGTAAAAAGTTACAAACCTGCTAGCATTTTCTGGTTAGCAATTAAAAAGTGACATCGTCATTAGAATATTTTTCTCTTACTTAAGTCTTTTTTTAACAAAATTTACGGCTGTTGTGTTTTTGTGCACACATCCTCTTGTGTTTCAGCCCAAAAACAAAAAACTTTTTTTTTTTATGAATGTAAAACAGCTTCACTGGCTGCCATCCCACAACAAACCACCGACGCTGCTACTTCCTGTTTATGTTTGTTTCCTGGGGTGTACGTGGAGGTCAGGTCTGTGTCAGGTACTAATTCTGAGGTACCGTCGTTCGTTCTGTAGCCTCTGAATTTCTGAACTGTATCCAGTTGGATCAGCCGGATCTTACTGGAGTGGAAACACCGCCGATTAGCAAGCAGAGGGGAAAAGTGCTCCCATGATGCTCTCTGGTCCTGATCATTTGCCATGGCAGCAGAGTTTTTGTTCCACAGCAGACATGGAGATGAGTGTTCATGATCTCTGCCTGTCCGCACCTCCTCACGATACAACACAGTTCTATCGGTTGTTATTCCGTTGAGTCACAGCAGACAGGAAGTGATGATCCGCAGATTAAATAGCTATACGTTAACTCATGTCAGGCTTTAGAGGATTTAGAGCAGGGAGGTGTCGACTCTGGACTGAATGTCCCTCAGATGTTCTGTCATGTGACAGTAACAGTCAGGTTGGTTTAAGGGGTGTCAAACATATGGCCTGCGGGCAAAAAACGGCCCGCTAGGGAGTTTCAATGCGGCCCGTTTGATGAAAAAAGTGAAAAAATGCACTTCATGTCGGTGATGTTTTGTCAAATGATATTTCGTTAAATATGTGCACTTCATGTCGGTGATGTTTTGTCATATGATATTTCGATAAATATAAAATATTTTCTAATGTTCTTGTACTTATTTGCATGTAAACAAAGGGGGAAAAAATTAGTTATTGCTATAAGTTATTGTACTGGTCCGGCCCTGTTGTGGCCCCTGAACCCAAGTTTGACCCCCCTGGGTTGGATGATTGCGAATTAAAGCTGAGTTTGTTTCAAAAACCTAGAAGTTGTTTGTTGCGTTAAAGTGTTAGCACGATGCTAAACATGATGATGTTTCAAACACCGAATCTCAAAACGTTTTTAAATAAGCTAACGTAGGACGACTTGTCTGTGTTTATAAACTGATCATCTTCCGTCTGTACTCTTCAGGGAGGTCTTGTTTTGTCACAGACAACGCAGGGAATAAAACGGACTCATTTGAAAAATTAATGAAGAGAGTAAAAAAATAAATAAAATAAAATGTGTACAGCGTGATGTAAAAGTGAGCGAGTTTTCCCTGAGTTAACCGTCGCACACTGTCGATGACTGACGTGTGTTGAAATATCAGAAATGTGTTCCAGCTGTGGCCGCACAAGAAAAAATGCAAACACACACACACACACACAGACACACAGACACAGTCACATATATGCAGACAACAGCATGTGCAGACATGCAGTCTCTCTCACACACACACACACACACACACAGCCTCTGGCCCTCTGTGTGTAGGGAGAGTGTTTACACACACCACTGTGCATGTGTGAAGTGAGGTTTTCATGTGAAACTCCGATGTGTTTTTTAAAGTCTGTGATGAATGAAAAGCACATGTCGTCAATTCTCCTCTTACATCATTAATCCATTTCACATCTTGTCCAATCGAAACCCGCTCTGTGGTCGGCAGCTCAGGACGAGGTGGGAGAGGAGGTGGAACCTGAACAGGTTCGTTTCAGTTTCTGAAATGTGGAACAAAGGGAGAACCGTGACGATCAGAGATCGAGAACTTCACACATCGGATCTGTTTATGTCAGTCTGAGCAGAACAAATCTGACTGTTTCAGTCCAGACCCAGGGTCCAAGAATCTCCGGTCTCTGTTTTCGACCTTAGTCTCTTTGTTAAAGTTTTAACTAAAGATGTCCAACAACATCGGGCGACCGATGTAATATTAGCATAGCTATGTAATATCTGTAGGGATCGTTAACAGTTTCTCCTCCGATAATGAAAACCCGATAACGCAACGCCAGGGTCTCGCCAAATATGCCAGAATCGCTTTAGAAAATTATTTCGTACAGACAATGCTAATTCGGGGCAGGCCATCACAATAAAAGTAGGCCATGTGTTCATTCCACCGCGGGAGATATGGGATGTGAAAACGACTACATGTATCGGTTGTTATCGGAATCGGAAATTATGTGTTTGGACAATATCTGTATATAGGCATATCGGATATCGGCAAAAAGCTAACATCGGACATCCCTTGTTTTAACTGATGTGTCCTAGATTCTCCTCAATAGGTTGCGATCTCTAACTGATGTGTCCTAGATTCTCCTCAATAAGTTGCGATCTCAGGTCTTTCTTACTCTGTCCTGGTCCAGGTCTTGTAGTGTGTCCCAGTATCTGTTGGACCTGACTTTTCTTGACTGTCCTGGTTTGACCCGGTTGTTTTGAACCTACCTGGACAAAGGGGAACTGTCCCAGTCAGACTCACATCACACGTAAGACAGAAGTTAAGACATTTTATGGTATGTGACCCATATTATGTTGACCTGAACCAAACAGACTTTTCAGATCAGACCCAGATCTGTTTCATGTTTGCTCAAAAACTCAAGTCTCATGTCACCATGCTAAAGCTAGCAACATGTTTGTCGGTTATTAGCTAACCGTACACTGACTTAGGACAAGCCGCTTAATTGCAGGATCCAGATAAAGTCCGGACCGGATTTTGGATTTTTGTCTCCCTCCATGTGAACTCCTGACTCCGGTCTCATTGTCTCCCTCCATGTGAACTCCTGACTCCTCGGGTTCTGGATCAAAAGTATTTGCTAAATTTAGATAATTAGCCATTCCGCTATCATGTCGGTGGCTAACCTTTAATCTGAGCGTGTGAGACGTTACATAAACGCCACAGTTGTTGATGTGAAGCTCGGGGACAGCTACAGCCGTGGTCGACCCCGACTAACGTGATCAGTTCAGAGCAGATCAAATCAGCGTGATGTTAACGATGAGCACAGTTAATTACAGCGTGACGTCAGCCACGGCGTTCAGTCCTGGAGAGAGATTCTATTTAAAGCTCCGTCGGTCGCGTTAAAATCAGGAGGTCAGAGTTAGCCTCGCTCTCATAACCAACCAATCACGTCGTTGATTTACACATTTCATCTTTAATCTAGGGTGGAAGATTTTAACAAGTTCATTTCAATTCGTTATTTACACAAACAAAATGGGTTGAAGACGTTTGGAGCTATCGCTACTTTTTTGTACACACACCAGCCCATAGGTGGCAGTAGTGCACCTAAAGTTTGTTTGTTTTTGTCAGGATTCATCAGCACATTTAAAAGAAAATCTTTCCCTTGGCATTTCAAATTTAAAAATATATAAAATGTTTACGTTGGATCGGCTGCGCTAACATCTAAAACGGGCTAGCTGGAGCTTAGCCAAAATATCTTTATTTAAAAAATGTAAATATCACCAAAAAAATAAATATCAATTAAAGTTATTTTTTCCAGTGATTGGTTAAAAGTAGATTTAAAAAAAGGTAATAAAAGATTGTTTTCATACTTAGTGAATTCTTTGACTCCGACTCTGAGAGAAAATTCCGGTCTGTCTCTGTGCTGCTGCAGCGCCACCTTCCTGTCTCTCCTTCACCTCCGGCTCCTGTCTCGCAGCCTCAGAGTGTCTCAGTGGAGTGGGTGGAGTCAGCGCCCAGGCTCCTCCTCTTTGTGAAGGCCTCCTCTTCCTCCCTCTGACCTGCTGAGGCTGTGAGACAGAAGACGTCTCAGTCAGAAGTAACCTGCAGCAGCAGCAGCAGCAGCAGCAAACTTTCACCTGTGGACACCTGGGGGACGACGACTGACTCTGACCTGAAGGAACTCTCTCTCTGAAGGAATTATAGACAAACACTTGAGGACGTCTCTGGGGACTTTTTCAGGGGTTGGACTTTATTTCTCTTGCCTGGATTTTTTTGCTCTTGTGGTGGACACTTTTACCACGGACTTCTCTCAGTGTGTGGGACAGATCCTGCAGTGGGACAGTAAGTTTGAGTCCGTGGTGCGTTCATGGACAGATGATGAAGATGATCAGCAGCGACTTTCTCTGACCCTCTCTCTCTCTCTCTGTCTCTGTGTCTCTCTCTCACAGACTCCAGGATGTTCTGCTCCAGGAGAGTCCTGCAGCGCTGGAGCTTCGCTCTCTTCCTCCTCTGCTCGCCGGCGCCACTCTTTGGACGTCCCATCGACGCGCTCAGTAGCAGGATGTGAGTCTCTGAGTGTGTGTGTGTGTGTGTGTGTGTAACCTGACAGCTAAGCAGGATTTGTGGGGCAGAATGTGGGGAAAACCTTGTCAGGATCTCTAGGTGGTGAACTGTCTTCTTGTCCCCCAGCAGAGGACAGTTCTCCACCTAAGTCTGGGACTGAGGGACTGGTCCAGGTCTTTGCTGGTTTTTTCTAACTCTGTCAAACTTCTGTTGAACTTTTTCTAAGAGTCTCCTGGTCTTCCCTCCTTCAGGCTGATGGACTCGGTTTGTCCAAGTCTGAAAGGTCTCTGTCCCCAATGTGTCCTAGACCCTGAACAGGTCTTTCTGAGTCTTTTCCTGGTTCAGAATGTCTCCTCGTCTCTTATTTGGACTCAGACTGTCTCTGGTCTTTCTGGGGTTTTTTTTTTTTACTTCTCTCCTGGTTTTTATCCTGAAGCTTTTTTTTTTCGTTTGTTCAATTTCTGGTCTTTTGATTTTTGTCCAGCATCTACTGGTTTTTGACAAGTCCAGATCCTGGTCCTACAGTGTCTCTTGGACTAAGTTCTGTATATTCTGGTCTCTCTGTCCACATTCTGTTCCGCTCCAGCTTTAAAATGTATATGAACAAACCCTGAGTGCGTGTGTGTTTTTGTGAGTTCACATCTGAAATACATTTGGCAGCAGCGTTGTTTGGACTTTTAGGTGTTTTTTTTTTTCACCTTTTTAAGACGTTGTTAAAGAGAGTTTTTGTGTCAGGTGCACGTTGTTTACACAGATTCAAAATAAAGTTAAAGAAAAGGTTAAATACACAGTGTGAAATTAGTAAAAAGAAAGTTCAATTTTTTTCTTTTTTTCTTAATTTTATTATTATTATTTAATTGTATATAGTTAAATGACAGTGTGAAATTAGTAAAAAGAAAGTTGATTTTTTTTTCTTTTTTTATTAATTTTATTATTATTTAATTGTATAATCTTTATAAACATTTTTAAAGATTATTTTAAATAATAATCTGACACAGCTTAAAGATAAATACTAATTCCGGAATGAAAACATTTTTTAGAGAACTTTTAAAACTCAAATAAACTATAAAATAAATAGTAAAATCTAAAATATATGTCTATTAGAACATGGATCAGATTATATATGTGTGTTATATTGATATCAAATTCACCTGTAAATTAATTTTAAAGAAAGTACACTAATATTTTTGATAAACTTTTATTTAAATTATAATTAAATTTTTAAGTTCATATTAACTTATTTAACATAAGAAAACTCATAAATAATGAATCCATAAATAAATAGTGTCAGTGAAGGCACCATCCTGGTGAAAATTTCCATTAGAAAATCATTAAAAAAATCAATAAATGTAAATCAACAATAATGAAATTAAATCATGAAAATACAGGGTTTTTTTTGTTTATGTCTTTAATTCTTGTAAAGCTGAACAAACAGCTTCAGTTCTCACCTCTCACTGATCGTGTTTGGGGATTGACTCAGGTTGAGTAAAATAAATAAATTCAGTACAGTAGACGGAGGAGCAGCAGGGCATGATGGGAAACTCTACGCCTGAGAGTTTGTGTTTCCCCGGCAGCTAAGGTTTTTTTGAGTCGTTCCCAGGAATTGAACCTCTGACTCATTTATCTATGAATTCCTGCCATCTCCCTTCACTCCTCCACAGCCCGTTTCTCTACTCCTACTTCTCTCCCACCTTGTCCTCTTTCACCTCTCTTCTCATCTTAAACATTTTTTACTCCATTTTCACCTTTTATTCAAAGTCAATATTTATTTTAATCTCCTCCTCCTCCTCTTCTTCTTCCTCGTCTTGTTTTTGTTTACATGTGTGGAGCAGATGCTTCACCTTTTCACAGTTTCTGTCTGCAGAAACAGCTCCACCCTGTGGTTACTATCAGACTTGACGTAGTTGATATTCCTTCGTTCCTTGTTCTGAATGCGCCTCTTCATTGACGTTACGTTTTTGTTTTAGTTTTACTTTGGGTTTTTATAAAAGCTTTTGGTTGAGACTTCCACTCAGAGTGACAGCTACTGCGGACCATGAATGTGGTTCGTGGGAATCCAGCGCGTGTATCGCCCGGCTCCATAGCTCAGGGGTTAGAGCACTGGTCTTGTAAACCAGGGGTCGCGAGTTCAAATCTCGCTGGGGCCTGTCCACATTTTTGCTTCTTTAAAATCCTAACACTTAAGAAATGATAGGTAAACGTCACTAATTAAAAAAAAAAAAAAAGTGAACACGTTTTGTCAGAAGCCTCCCGACAGTCCCATTACTCCTTTAAACCCAAAGGATTATATTGTACTTCTAATCCATATTTGTATACAGTACTAAAGTAAATTTGTATTTTTTTTAGATGTTGCCAAAAAAAACTTTCTTCACCTTTATTAGTATTTGACCGAATCAAACACAATCAGCCATTTTATTTGATTAATTTATAGTCGTATTTAGGATTTATTTATCATTTATTATATATTTTTATATATTTCTTTTATTCTATATATATATATATTATATTTTTCGATACATTTCTTTTTATTTTATTTTTAGATTTATTATTCGGCCCGTCATGTTGTTTTTTTTTTGTTGTTGTTGTTTATTTTTGCTGCGCCTATTCAAAGTTTCGTCCATTCCTTTGACTCCTGTGCCCCCTGTTGGTTAAATACATGAACGTTTCTAAAAATTAAAAAAATACAAGTTATACAGTATTTGTATTTGCGTGTACCAAGTCTATTTCCTTACATGTCTTTACGGGTGCTGGTGTAAGATCTAATCTTAACTTTTTTCTTTTTTTTCAGTAAGCGTTCCGTGAGCCACGCACAGATGATGCACGACAAAGGTCGGACACTACAGGACTACAAGCGCCGCATGTGGCTGCAGGGACTTCTGGACGGAGTCCACACGGCCGAAATCCGCGATCTTCCCGTCCGGACGACGGGAGCGGCGGCAGGAAGTCCGACCAGTGGTGCGGGCGTCGGGCTGCCGGGTGTTAGCCTGGGCATTAACCTGAGCACCACGGGCACGACCTTACACTCCAAACCTCCAGGAGGAACAAAGAACCTCCCCCTCAGTTTCCGGCCGGAGGAGGAGGAAGGAACCAACCTGCCGCAGGAGACCAACAAGTCCCAGCCGTACAAAGACGGTGTTCTGAAAGCACCGGGGAAGAAGAAGAAGAAAGGACGCTCCGGGAAGAGGAGGGAGGGGGAAAAGAGGAGGAGAAGGGCGCGTTCACTCAGCTGGAGGTGGGACGAAGAACCCGGAAGTGGATTCCACCTGGAGTGGAAGTCTTTACTTGGCCTGAGGAGGGCGCTGCTTTGAAACGCTGTCAGTCTCTGACACAGGTGAGAAAAACCGTCAGTATTTTTTTTTTACCTAGTTTGGGAAATTCAACAATAATTGTGAAGATATTGACGCGGGAATTTTTTTAGTGACTCGAACCAGAACCTCATGGACCACCTCAGTACTAGGCTTAAATATTTTCCGAAAAAGTATAATTTTACTACACATATTGAATTTAACATTCATATTTAATATTTATTTAACCCATTTTAAAAAAGAAACAGAAACCCTAACCATTTTAATAGACAAAAATAAAAAGTCATGTTTCAATCAGTCCAGTATTTAATCTGAATATTTAATCTTTCTCTCCTGCAGAAACCCACAGAAGGTCGGAGCGGACTCCTAAATACTCATGATACAGTCTCCTGTCATTGTGATTGTTTGGAAAGAAATTGGAAAATATTTATTTGTCTGTAAATATTCTAAATATGGCAGAATAGATGGCAGAATATGATTAAAAAGATTTTAATCTTTGTGAATCCTGGCTTTTATTATTTCCTTTTTTAATTCCAAGTATGTCAGATATATTTCTTTTTTTGTTTTTCTTTTGATAATTTATTTTGTCTGAATGGTGTATTTATTTTGTAAATGTATCGAGGTGCTGCTGACCCTCTATTTTTGTACAATAATGCACTTTAGATATATAAATATAAAAATATATATACCATTATTTTTCTGTTATTTGTGTTGGACTGAAATGAAGAAGTCATCCGTTTGTTTTGTAAACTCAATCTGTTCATACTTATCCACTCTTGGTTGTTTTGCTGCTGTTTTTGTTTTAATTTTTGTTCTTTTCTTTTTTTTTCGTCATGTTTGTTACGTTCATCCTTCACTGTCTCTGTTTCTTCCAAAAAACGCTACGCTTCTCAATGCCAAAGTCCCTGTTTGTACATAAACCCAACACATGTTGTTGTTTTTGGCACTTGCACTGAGATAAACAGTCTGTACTGAACAGATTAAACATTTGACAGAAGCCCCTCCCTCCTCTGTGTCTTTATTCTCCCTCTATTCAAATACTGGAAACAACAGTGACAACCTCGTTCATACGTTTGGAACTTGATTCATGATTCACTTTAGACAGCGGTGTTCCTCAGGGTGCTCTCCTGGGCCCCGTAAAAGTCAAAAATAATGTCCTGCAATTTTTGTCCAATTGACAAAATTGTCAACATCCAGAAGTGCTGACGAATGTGAAATGATATAATAATTATAATTTTTAAGGAATCGGAATCTCACAATACACAAAGTACATTATGGTGGAAAGATTTTAGTGGAGATATCGGTCAAGGTTACGCCTGTCTTTATTACGGTGTACCACGGTCACAGACTAATGTTAGATGGATGGATGGATGGATGGATGGATGGATGGAAGGATGGATGGATGGATGGATGGATGGAGGCATTTGGTTAAATCAAAATCCTGGTACTGTGTGGTCATGTAGCAGCAATGAAAATAAACATTATTAATAAAACAGTTGAATATTGCAGAAATATATCAACTGTAGTCCTACAGTACAACCCAGGGTTGTGGTGTCCCTCAGGGATTCGTACCGGGTCCTCTTACATTTGATTACAAAATGATTGTGTTTTATTTTGAAAAATGAATCCCAGCGGTCTTGGTGTAGAACACAGTCAGCAGCTCTTGGAAACGTCTGCACAGCTTCTTCAACGGCTTCTCTTGACTTTGCCTCCTCATTCCCTCACATTCCCGATATTCTTTATTTGAAACGTCTCCCCAGAAAAAACACATTTAACAGCTCCTCATTCACTGTCCGCACATTAGCAGCTCTTGTCGGATCGGCGCTCACTCGCGGTCCTGATCCGCGGCTTCATTTACAGACGTCAAAACTCTTTCTGTGCCGCAGCTTCACATCAGGACTCGTTTACTTTGGCAGCTCCTCCACCGGCTGAGAGGCTGTGAGGGCGAACAGGGCGAGGGGGAGCCGATGGTGTTGATGTTCAACCTGAACCAACCCAAACAAACGTTAGAAACACTGGAGTCAGAAGAGATCTCTCTGGAGGCTTCTGATGAGGCCTTGAGGCTCGGAACCACTGCTGCGAGAAACGAAAGAAAAATCTCAGCAAATGTGTGAAGGTTGAAATGTTGAAAAAAAAAAAGTTGAAGATCAGTGATAAGTTCGTGTCCAGTCACTTTTTTTGATACTTATTTAGGAAAGAGTTGTCCTTCGTGTTGCCTTCAAGACCGCAGGTTATTTTCATTGCTAATTTGAATATAATATGTGGGAACATCTCTGTAAGGAGCAGGAGCAGAATCTGAAATGTCAAAACACTTTTTTTTTCTTCTTCTGACCAAACAGAAATTTGAAAGAGAAAACCCATCAGGGTCTTGTTTCGTGACTGGCTTCGAGTCAGAGAAGAGGTTGAATCTCAACCAAACTCGGAAAATGATGAATAATCAGCAAAAACTTGACATGAAAAACTAATCTGAGACCCTCACACGTGTGGTAACACGTTTGCGTTCTGTCAGAAGTAATTACCACCGCAGGAGACCGGTGCCGAACCAGAACATCTCACTCCGACTACAGTTCAGTCCAGTTGATGTGTATCTGCAGATGAAATCCAGTTTTGGATTATCTGACTGTTCCTGCTGCTGATTACTGAGAACACCACGGTCCGAGAGTTCCCTCCAGATGATAATAATTTAATCAGGCCTCTGAGTCACGACGAGTCCAAAGTCATCAACATTCCCACAGTCTCCACAGCAGGGAAAAACCATAAACTGTGAGAGAGAAAAAATACATGTACAGTTCAACAAGTAATCCAGGATCAGATTATTACTTCATTAACAAATGCCAAAAGGAAACAGGAATATTTAACATTTAATATGTTGAAGAAGAATGTGCTATTATTTTAAGTTGGATTGCATTATATTAAACTAAGTTATACAAAATTGTATTGTTGTTAATAATATTAATAACAATTTATTAATTCATCCATTGTAATATAATATAAAGTATGTACAAAATATTATATTTTTGATTTAATTTCACTTTGTGATTAGGACTACACTAAAGTAAAGTACACAAAATTAGAAATATTTAAAACTAGATCTAACCTGACAGGTTAGATCAGATAAGATAAGACTATCAATGCAGTCAAATATTGCAAACAGAAATGTATTCCTTTAAATAGAAATAAATACAAACTTTTAAACGATTTTTTCCGTTGTCGTATTGCTGTTTAATGTTTGTTTTTTTAAGTTAAACACATTCGACGAGGCTCCCACAGGGGGCGTCCGAGCAGATATGTCGTCGTTTCCGGCAGAATGGTTGTAGTGTCCCGTCCATTTTTTAATTTGAATTTATAATGAAACATTTTATTCCAGGGAATTTATTAAAACACTTTATTTACAATTAACCATTTGACCGAATCGAATTAGTTCACAATTAAAGCAAACGGCACCGTTATTTAAAGGAACGTAGTAGAGGAATAAGTACGGAAGCCGAGAATGTGTCGCTAACTTAAACGTAGAAGAAGAAGAAGCTGAGGCACGTGTGGAACTCCAACATGTCGCCACCCGGAGGAAAAATAAACAGACCCAAAACTGTAAGTTTACTCTGAATATGGACTTAAATACACAGTAAGATAACGTCTGGTCGGGGCTGTTAGCCTGTAGTTAGCCTGTAGCACTTACACTGTAGCGCTGCTAAAAAGCTAAGAAACGGTTAATGTAATGTTTTGCTCGGTTTGGTTAACAAATGTTAGCAGTCACGGTTCCATAGTGACAGTAATGTAGTTTTTCACGTTAAGTGGACTTGATGTAACTACAAAATTCCATTGATTAAATTCGCCGTATCTCGTGTATATAAAGTTCGTTCATTTACGTACAAAGGTATTAGTTGTTCTTGCTTAAAAGTTAACAACACTCGTACTCAGTAACAGTTTTTTTTAAATTAAAAAGCAGTAGCCATTCTCTGCATAACAAACAGTACAACTGTTAAAGCATTTCGTGTCGTAATGTTTCAGTAATAGTGTAATTTGTAAATGCAAATTGTCTGGAGGAAAAGAAGTGTACTGTGGATTCCAACTCAGTTTGGGGATATTTCTGATCCAGATGCTGTTGTTTTATGGTGTTGACTTCACTCTCAGTCATCCGACATCTTACAGAGCATTGACATTTTCACAGGAACTTGGCAAGAAACTCTTCAAACGGCGGCGAGTCCTTAGTCGAGAGAAGAGGAAGAGGCATCAGATCGTCGGTGCCGTGGTGGATCAGGGTCTGATCACCGTCCATCACCTGAAGAAGAGAAAGTGAGTGACTGACCCCGACAGGAATCTGTGTCAGGCTGTGACCGTGCTGAGTCACGGAGCTTTATTAAAAACCTGTTTACATTCCTCAGGTCCAGTCCCAGGGCGAACATCACTCTGTCAGGGAAGAAGAAACGGAAGCTGCTGAAGCAGCTGCAGCACATGCATCAGGAGAAGGCGTCTATGGAAGGTGAGGAGGGACTAAACACTTCACCACAGACTTCAAACACACAGCCATTCAAATCTCACTCTTGTCATTCCTCACTTTTCTTCTCAGTGGAAGCGGCTCCCACTAAGAAAAAAACCAAACCTCCTTCCACTCAGAGCAAGAAAAAGAAGAAATCTGCGAGCCAGCAGGGAGACGTGGAGATGATCGAGGCTGAATGAGACAGAGGTGCAAATATATGAAGCTGGTCATCTCACATATCAGCTGATCATGATTGAGAGACGTTTCAGTTTGGGATCAGAGGCACGACAGTTTTGTTGTTATAAAATCCTGTATCAAAAACAGGTGAATGTAAAAGTTTGAATTCTGTCTGTTTTGATCCTTGGAGAAGAAATATTTTTGGTTTGCTTTTTCATAAATCCTTACGGTGCAACATTAGGAAGTTTTTCTTAATTTCAAATGAAGTTCTTATCCACTCCATTTAGTTTGATTTCGTGTCAGCAGGTGAAAAATCTCGCCCTCAAATATTGTATAAGCGCAGTACCACCTGATGACGACTAGGTGTCGGTGTTTTTGGCTGCTTAACGTTTATTTCCCGAAGAGAGAACTTCCGTGTGTTTACCAGAGGTTTTTGTAATGTTAATAATAAAATCACAAGTTTAACAATAACCAGCAACAATAATAATGAGCTGTTATTGTAAATGTACTTATTTACGAACATTTTTTTCTGAATAAACATTTTCTTTAAAAAAAAAAATCCAATCTGAATTATTTAATTTTTTGTTCTATTTCTTTCCATCTACTCCCGTCTTCTTTTTTTCACCTCTTGCTGATTCTTTTAAATCTGATTCTCCTGCCTTGTCCACTTCCTCTTTCATCTCCCTTCCTCCTGAACTCACCTTTATTCATTATTCTCCATATCTCCTCCCCTCCCTCCTTTAGCTCCTCCATGTCTAGTTTTTGTCCTCTCCTCCTTGTTCTATATCTCGGTCCATTGCTCCTGTCCCTCCTCCCTCCTTGTTTCTCCTTCAACTCCTCTTCCGAATTTTTCTGCTCCTTATTTTTCTCTTTCCTCTCCTCTTCCTTCCTCCCCCTTCCCTGCCTCCCCCTCCTCCTCCTCCTCCTCTGGAGGACAAAGACTAAAATGGGTCATCCTCTGGAGAACATCGCCAGCTTAAGCATCATCTCCGCCTCCTGGAGGAGAGAGCAGCTGAATCACACATTTGTTGCTCTGAGACATCCATCCTGATTGCCCTTTTTCACGTTTATTTAAATTTTATTTTTAAATCCCATTCGCTCTGTGCTCTGAATGACTGCAGCCTCTCATCACCTCACTGGAACAGACTCAGCTCGGTGAAGACGAACCTCCAGAACTCGCTCACACACCGACTCATCAGACTGAGCGCTGGCCGATGAAAGATGCTGAACGCGGGGCAGCGTTGATCAAAAATCCTTACTGAAACAGCGGTGAGTCTGGACCAAGCCTATTTGTCTCTCTCTCCTTGGTTTATTGTGTGGCTGATGGAGCTCAGGTGAAGACGAATCAGGCGAAGAAGAAGCTGGCGAACACTTACACAAAGCTTAGCTTCGCGCTAACATACGCGGTGTTTATCTTCATATTTATTGAACTCTGAGATTTGTTTTAACGTTTCGTTGAATTCGCAGCGTCTGCACCTGTTAATGTTTCCATAGAATTAACACGGTTTCAGTCACAACAAGACTCCGTCTCCAGAGTCTCATTAGCCTCCGGCTGCTCACAGCCGAGCGAAGTCGGTTCGAGCGAACAGTCTTCTCCTGACGTCACTGCACAACGCTTTCGCTTCATGTTCAGAGCGACACTCAGCGAACTTCTTGGCTTATTTATATCAGCTGCTGCCGCGTGCGGTAGAATAGCGTAAATGTGGTCCTCAAACTCTACGTAAGAAGATAAGGGTCGTACTGAAAATAGGAAGTCATTAAAATGGACCATAGCTATATCTGGAAAACCGTCCGAATTATCGGTATTTTAACTTGTAATATCGTATAATAATACGTATATAATAAGTATGTTTGATACGTGTACGATTCGTGTGTTTGGTACCCCAAACTTGTAGGTAAAAACTGAACTCAGACAAAAAAAATTATATTTTTAATAGAGAAACTCTTTTATTTTAATACAACAGAGGCTTCCTATCAGACAAAAAAAATTATATTTTTAATAAAGAAACTTATTTTAATACAACAAAGGCTTCCTGAGTTTGTTTGCGAAAAGATATGAATTGAAAAAGAAGATTTGGAAATCAAGATACAAAAGCAGGATAAAGTAGTGGATATAATGTATGATATCATCGCTTTAGTTTATGAAAAGCTTTTTTTAGGAAGTGACTAAAGCTGGTTCTCAGTCTGTGCTGAATTCTAGTTTATTTCATAATAAAACCACAGCTTTCAGCAGGTTGATAGCGGCTCAGGTGGCGTCAGCTGTAAAGAGGTCCAGGTGAAGTAAAGTCTGTGTATCTCACAGGTGTCTGACTAAAGTCCTACGGTGTGGACTGTGGACCTTCAGAACGCTCAGTGTCTGATGGAGGACGGTTCACGCCGAGGCCTTCATCCTGGTGAGTTTGTTTTTCTGTGATTCTGGTAGAGGGCTGCAGCAACGAAACTCAACCTCAAACATCAAACCTGTTTCATCTGGACCTTTTTATCTCACCTGTGAAGTCAGATCTATTTTTAGAATTCCATTTTTACTCTAAAGAATTGCTTCTATTTCTATTTCTCTCCACTCTGTGGTTGTTTGTTGTGCAGATGCGGCAGCGACAGCATCAGCGCTGACACGTGTGTAGATAAAAGTTGGGCAAATGTAACCAAAGTTTAAGATATGTAAAAGAAAATTCAGCAGTATTTAACGGGAGTAGCTAAAGGCTAACCAAAAGATAGGAGCATTAGCCCAGAAAAAGCTAATGGGTGGCCCCCACTAATAATAATAATAAGAAGAAAAGCTAAAATAAGTTGTATATACATCAACAAAAATATTTTTTAAAATAATATTAATAACAACAATAAGGTTTAAACAACAGTCTCTACTTTTGGCTTCTCTCTCCATCGGAGTTTGTTATGTGTGTTTTTACATTATTTTTACATTAGATGCTATTTCTTACGCTTTCGATTTGAACAGAGCTAATGGTTGAAACTACGCTGAGGTAAAAACCAGCCCAAATAAAAATGTAAAGTTAGTTAACAACTTGCCCAGCCTGCAGCAAAACTAGGTATTGGTATTAGGTGCTGTTGGGTTTTTTGTTGTTTTGTTGTTGTTAATTTCCTGTGTCTCTCTGCTCTCCTGCTCTGGACGACAGATCATTTCTGACCGGAGACTCTTTCATCTACAGCGGCCATGTTTCCTCCACCTTTCGGTCCACCCTGGAGGACTCTGCTCATCAGCACCATCGCCGTCATGACGGTGGTGACCTCACTTCCTCTCGCGTCAGCTGCGGACCCAGAGATGTGTTACTCCAGACAGCACCAGAGCGTGAAAGTCAACATCAGACAGGCTTTAGGAAGCCCGGGAACGCTGCTGCTCACCAGGCTGGTGGCTTCGGAGAGAGACTGTGTCCTGGCCTGCTGTTCACAGGAGGTTCAACCAGGTCTGTGAGACCAACACCTGGACTAACACCACTAATATAAATACAGTTCACACACACCAGGAGTGTTTTAGTGTGTTAAATGTGAGACAATTACAGCTATACTGTAGCATTGGTTTGTTTGTTTGTTTGTTGTTGTGTAGGAGCCAGGTGCAACATGGCCGTCTTCAACGGCAACAAACACAGCGATGATCAGAACGATGGAAACTGTCTCCTGTTCCACTGTGCTAGTGAAGAGGACTGTCCGTTGATGAAGGTTCAGCCTGGTGTCAACACCTACGACATCTACAAAGGTATGGAACCTACTCTGCTATAAAACAATATACAGTGGAACCTCGACATACGAGTATTTACAAGTAAGCCTTCGAGCAAATGTTTGCTTCGAGATACAAGTAAGGATTTAAGATACGAGCACGCTTACAGACGCTGACACTAGGTGGCGTTCAGCACTCGGAGCGGCCCACGCCCCTTCACTCGTTCACTTCACTGTTTGTTGACTTCCGTACGCATCTCCTGCGAGTCTTCTGTATTTTGTTTGCGTTATCTACGTGATTTTCTCTCAACTTTGTGCGTTATTCTTCATAATAGTGATGAGTCCTACGAAGGTGAGCGGTGAGGATGGTAGAAGAAGAAGAAACGTTCTTTTTGAAAACCTTTAAGTACCCATTGGTCGAGATCATGTAAAGTTGTCGTCGTTTATGCACAGGGTTGATTCATCCGACCACAGCGAGACCTGTCTCCACAACAACTACCACCGAGATCACAACCGTCACCACCGCGCAGCCTACGACCACTACGACAACCGTGACAACCCCCCCATCTGCAACAACAACACCAATCGCAACAACAACCGCAGAGCCGACCACAACTACCACAGTCGCCGCACCGGAAGCTGACATCATCACGGTACCCCAGCCCATCGTCGTCATGGCTACAGTGCCCGCGGTAACGTCGTCACTGACACCAATCGCCACAACAACCGAGACTCCCGTCGTAATCAACAGAAAGACAAACAAAACCACCAAGAAGCAAAGTAAAACCACCAGGAAAGGTAAAAACCATCCAGTGATCACCACCACTCAGCCTCCTCTGAGCTCCACGACCTCATTTGCTGTGGCAACGCTGCTGCAAGAGGAGGAAGAGACCGAACAGTGGACGACTGTCACAACAGAGACAAGTGCTGAAACCACCACTGTCCCCACCACGACTACAGCAGCGGCTCCAACCACCACTATCGCTACTCCTACAACTACAACTACAACTACCACACCTGCTCCTCCACCTACCACAACCACTACTACTGCTACTATTACTCCTACTACTACACTCCTACTACTACTACTACTACTACAACCATTGCTACCAGCACTCCAAAGCCATCCACCACCACCACCGCTCTGGCAACAAGCCTCATCATTGTTCCTGAGGAACCCAAGCAAAACTCTGAGAACGCCCCCCAGGGGAAATCAGTGGCAATACGGGGGGCGCTGAAGAGCGGCTTAGTGGCTTTCATGGTGCTGGGGCTTGCCTTGCTGACGTTAGCTTTGGCCGTGGGAGGGCGTAAAGCAATGGAGTCATTTGACAGGCGACATTACACGAGACTGGAGCTTAATGACCTGCACTACGAGGTTTAAGAATGGACAAGAATGTTTCAGGATAGAGAATTAGCATCGGCTAGTCCCAACAATGCCAGCACAGAGATGTTCAGCACTGAAATATGAATTCCCCCTCACACATATGTTTTTGTCATGTGTGGAAAAACCTTAAACAATTTGATTGTACTTGGGTTTTTTTTCTCTCAGATTTGTTTTACCACATTTTAAATATTTGATTGTGTCTATACAACAATAACGTCACATATTCTCACATTCAGGCTGAACGTAAAAAGGTTTGAGTTTGTGTAGATTAAATTTTTTTTTCCGTTTCCCATCTTCTCAGGCGAATTGTCTGCTAACCTTTTAAATTTTATTCACATAATTTATTCGCTAACATTGACTGCCACAGGAGGATATAAATATTAATATAAATTAATATTTAAATTAATTTTTTACTTGGCATATTTGATCTCCAGAAGCAAAAGATGCAAACATACCAGTATATTAGCATCGCCTGCAGATGGTTTATTATCAAAACCAGGTAACTTAAATAATTAAATCCAAAAGAAAATGTTGCAGTTATTTCGAGGCGATTCCGTACTTCTTATTAGGTTCACATTGTATACAAAGATATTTCGAAACTTCTCATTATAACGACTTGAACTTTCACCACCTGTGATTTTCCTGTTTTACCATTGTTCGTAAAACGAGCTTCAAATTATAACGACTTGAACTTTCACCACCTGATGTGATTACGAGGGTGGTTACGAGTCTGAAATTGTCAGTTGTCGCCCTCTAGAGGATTAGTGAGAAACGTGTTTTTATGGTTACCGTGAGGGAGGTAATACGGAAGAACAGCAATACTTTTTTCCTCTGATACTCAGGAAGTCTCTTGGAGAGGAACAGGAAGTGAATGTGTACGGAGATTGTCGTGTGTATACACCTGCATGTTTTGTTTTGTTTTTACTAACACGAGCTCCTCACTTATATTTCACACTGTGCGTTTTTTCTATTGCCCGTTTCACATTGATAAAAATTCAGTGCAATATTTTGTTGTTGATTTGCTTTTTGTCAATTGAACATTACTTTTTCCACAGTTACGCGGTCACCAGCTGTGCAATACTGTCGCTCTGATTAAACAATAATGGCGTGTTTATTTCTCTGAAGGGCCTATGTAGTGAAATGGTGCTTGTTGCCAGCAGGTGGAAGCATCGGCTTGAAGAATCTGATCCTAAACTGACACGTTTCACTGACGTCACTTAGATTTCTCGTTCCGGTTTGAGGTTTACAATGACGTCACGGTTTGGTCTCGTTTTGTGAAGTGATGCTTCTGCATAAGTTTAGAAATTTGATGTTTTGTTCTTGTAAAAAACAAATAAAAATGTGATTTTTTAACAGTCAGTCGGGTTTGTTTTTGTTCACTTAGTTATTATAATGTGTTAATCCCTTGTGTAGTTGTAGCTATGATATTCTATTCTATGAACAAATTAACTAAATCAATTTAAATCTAAGGCCCTTCAACAAAATTTGGCTTACCTTTATTTATTAAAATAAAAAGCATTAAATAAAATAGTACCAGAACTAGCTGCAAAAAAAGCAAAATAGGTAAAAGTTAACCTAAAACATCCTTTAGAATAAGCAGAAGATTGCCAAAATAGATGAAGAAAACATTTGCAATCAAATAACTAAAACTCGGCTTAAAAAACTAAATGAGAAAAAGTTTAAAAACACACCCAGTACTATGCCAAAATAGCACAAAGTTTTAAACGTTTTAAAACTAAAAGTAGTCTGACATAAAACGTTAATTATCCAGTGACAAATATGTGCAATTAAATATCTTAAATGCATTAAAAACAAATTTTACAGGAAAACATCTGCTCCTGGGTGTCATGAATTTTACGGCATGAAAAAATGAGGACCGCTTTAAACCTGTCCATGTGCCATTAATGGCCCCGGGCCAGACTTTGGGTACGAGTAGAACAAAACAAAACATTGCACAAATTAGCAAGTAACGACCTAAACTATATCACCCCGAGCATTACTGTTGTTGTTTTGACGTGAATCGAGAAGACAAGAAGGGAAAATAAGGAAGGTGAAAAAAATCAGCAGCAACAGGAGCGGTAGAAGCTCCTCCACCTCCTCCTCCACTTTCTTCTTGGTGCTCACAGCGGAAGGAGACGTCGCTCCTCCTGCAGGACAATGTGAGACACCGACACAACACTTGACCCGAACGAGAGTCTTTCTGACCCCGCATAGCTCCGTAGGAACAGACGGACGGACCCACCGGAATGGACATGGGCTCCGCTTAATCTCGGATCGCAGCTCATCGACGAAGGACCTTGTTATAATTAAAGCCGCGTTGGGAGCGCCAGGATCGGCCGCAGCTATGGGATCGGGCCGCTGAGCGGAGCGCGGCGCCAGGGCCGAGAACAGGGAAGATGGGTGTCGCGCTGCGGACTCTGCTGTTGTTGTGCAGTTTTTGTTTGCTCGTACGAGGTGAGTTTGTGTTTTCTTCTGCCTTTGTCTCAGTCGACCGTGTCTGTTTTATGTGAACGCGCATGGCGGTGCCATAGAAAACCGTTAAATGGAGACTTTTAGTGGCAGGCAGTTCTAGCTGGGACCGGGCCAAGGGCCCTCGGTTACGAGAGAAGCTGCTTCACAGCAGCGCAGCTAATGTTAGCTGGTTGCTATCATTAGCTCCGTTCGGTGTTATTGCACCGAAGAATGACACACAAACCAACCAGCAATAACTTACAATTCTCGGGCAACAGTTAAGCTTTCTGCTTGAATGACTAGATTATTTTCCTATGAATAAATAATTCCAGACTAGTTGTTTTTGCTAACTTCAACTTCAATGGCTTACACCACACTGAAACATAAGAACACTGGTAGCTTCTGTTAGCATTGACATGCTAACGAATACAGCCTCTGTACGCACAGAGGTAAACAGGCTGCTATTTACAAACATACATGTTTGTTTCCTCGTTTCCCTGAAGTGTCCTAACTCCGGCACACTATTAAATAAACAGCCAGCACGTTTGTTGTTTCAAGTGTGCTGAATTATTATATTTTTTATGGCTTTAATTTTGTGTCTCAGTGCTAAAACAGCTTTTGTCATAAGGTGTATATATGGTTTATTATTGATTCATTTTCATGGCTGCAACGATTGTTTTATTATAATAAATCTCCAGTGACTAGTATTTGGTGGTAAGATAAGAATAAAAACTGCAAAAACCAAATATAGAACAAAATGGATGATAGAATGAAGCAACTAGTTAAATACCAATGCTACAAGTTTGTATTCTATAGGGTAATATTTGATAAAATACACGTTTTATCGTGTATTTAGTCTCCATGGTTTTCACCACACTAATACATCCACCAGTCCTGACAGCAGTCACTTTCTATCTGATTTGATACAGAAACCAATTTTTGTTTCAATGAGAAAATAATTTCTTGGCAATCTAATACAGCTCAACATCACCATTCCATATACTTCACCTGCTTGTACATTTTAAGATGATAGCATTTGCCTGCAGGTACACTAGAACAGTCCTCTGCTGTGTCGTTTTACCGTTGGGCTGTTGCCGCTTGGCCGAACCAGAGTTGAAAACAAAGATGGCCGCTAGTTGGGCTGACTTTGGCAAAATCTCTTCTTTAAACTATATTTATGGCACAAGTTTTCAGGGCAGGTTATTGTATTTGGAAATTTCTAATATTCTGATTTGGGCCGCTAGTTGGGCTGACTTTGGCAAATTTCTAATATTCTGATTTAACCTTTCCCACTTATCCAGTCAAAGGAACGTTGTTCAGTCAGGTGTGGTGGGTAGTACAGACCCCGTCAACATTCAGATATAAAGACAATCTCAAATGGTTCCAGCGTATGTACTCTATTTGTAACTGTTAAAACTCCTTCCAATGGTGGACAGAACCTTTTGAGATGATCAAATGCTCGCTTCTTCAAACTTGATCTTGTAATATGTATATAATGAATTATATCGATCTTCTAGTTGCAATTTACTTACTCAGTGTGTAGGTTATTTAGAACAATTAAGTGAAGGTGGATAATTTCCCATGATACGATGGTCTCTCATCGCACATTAATGCGCTTCGAAAGTGTTTCGGAATCACTGGTCCAATCTGATAAATTATCCTTTGACAGCAAATTACCAGTATCGTTAGGGCATCATTAAAACATTTATAGTTTGGTTTCTATTAATATGACTTTTTACAGCCATTATTTATTTTTTACTTGACTTAAACTATCTATTTTTTGCAGCTGTGCCGCTGCTGCTATATGCGAACCGACGGGACCTCCGTCTCGTGGACGCGGCTCATGAAAAGGCTAACGCCACAGTGGTGGTGGGAGGACTGGAGGACGCTGCTGCCGTGGACTATGTCTATTCAGAGGGACTCATTTATTGGAGCGACGTGAGCGAGGAGGCTATCAAACGCACAGTTTTTAACCTGTCTGGTGCCAGCGTTGTGCAGACAGTGGTACCGGGTCTGGCATCTCCAGACGGACTGGCCTGCGATTGGCTTGGGAGGAAATTATATTGGACAGATTCAGAAACCAATCGGATCGAGGTATCAGAACTAGATGGATCGCTGAGGAAAGTTCTGTTCTGGCAGGAGTTGGATCAGCCCAGAGCCATCGCTCTGGATCCGGAACGGGGGTGAGTTTAGTCAATGTTTTTATGAAAGATGCGTCGTTTGAAATTTTTGGTGCTATGTCAATCTTACACAAATAATTTTCATTTAATTCTTGATATTATAATTCTTTGATAAAATTTTACACAAATAATTTTCATTTAATTCTTTATTGATAAAATGAATGATTTAAATCCAGTGCCATAATTATTGTTTTATGGTTTGTCTTGGGTTATTTTGAGTCAATGAAACTACTGGTGCAGGGTCAATGATCACGTTTCTAGTCGTCACTAATTGCACAATATTCTGGTTCAATTGCAAAAGTTATTGTATTTGGAAATTTCTGGAAAGAGCAAATTACAAAACGGACTTTTTGTAGTGAAGTAAAAATGGAAACTTTTTGAACGCATTTCCATACAGCACAGCAAAAAACCTCAGGGTTATGTGTAATTGTGATGTTTACTTCATACTGTGATTTAAGGACACAGTGTGAACACACACTCAAACACACACACACAAACACAAAAACATCCATTAGCGCTCAGATAAAGGGGCTCTCATAATGTATTCATTAGGTTTTATTTAAATTTTCCCTTTTCTTGTTCCCATTGATGGAAACCTTGTTTCTTCGTGGTTTGGTTGTGAAGTAACATGATTAAAGTCACAACAACACTGTGATACAGACTCACACAGACCTTTAATGAAACTGTCCATGTTTCTAAATAAGACTCATCCAACCTGACTGCGTTCATATTTTCTGGTTGAAAGTTTGGGCTCTCGCACAAGTTGTTCAGTCACAGTATGATTACAGGGAACAAGGTCTTATCAAACATCGATCTCTGTTTACGTCATCTGTTTTTTGGATGCAGTCATTTCGAACAAACATATAATTAGAACAGTCATTGTCCATCCATTTGTGTTCCTCTACTGCTGCATTCCAGAAAGCTGGAATTCTTATGATATTATTCGAGGAGGGCTCTAGATATGAGGTCAAAGTAATTCAGTCAAAAAGTATTAAACAAATGGCTGACCAAGATGAGGTGATATTTGGATTGTTGTTGAGGAGATTATTCGTGTGCATGAATGAAACGGAGAAGAAAAAGCTGCAGGTGAGACGAGGCCCACTGTGCATTCCCTCTTTAAATATCATTCCTGAAGAAACTTAGCTAAAACATATTTGCTAAGCTAACTCAACTTTACAACCTCGCCAACTCACGTTTAATCGGTGTTGTTAAATATGTATTTCTGTAAATGAAATGCATATTTTATTACATTTACATTTCTTTATTTTTTGGTGATTTTTATGGGCCCAACTGTTGTTCTGTGACCTCTCACCATAACTGAGCCTCAGGTTATATGTTGTCCTGCACCAGTGTTTCTCTTCCCTGTGTTTGGATGGTCAGACTGTCCAACCAGAGCAAACAGCAGACAGGTCATTCTCAGCATGACGGACTTTAATCACATCACCACTGACCAGCACAGACATAAAAGGAGCGTTGTGATTGGACAGCCATTATTTGATCCATTCTTGAAAACATCACAGGGTTTTTTTTTTTACCTTCTTATATGGTAAAAACACCCGCGTACCATAGTGTGTGTCAGACAAATAATAGTAGTAATACAGTGATAGAAGTAATAATATTTCGCTGTTCTATCAAAAATCACAACATTACTGTACAAATGGTCTTTATCAGTAACATCTGACTGAAGCTGCTTGTCACTCTTCTCAGTTTGAACCTCAGCAGTTTTCTCTGTAATTTGTCAATTCCCCATAAGAGGAGGTCTACCTAATCTGTAACTACAGTCAGCGAACTGTGATTGTGTCGGTTGTACTGCCTGAGGTGAATCTTCTTGTTCCATGTGATATTCCTGTGGCATTTGATGTGATGCTCCTGTTGTTTTCCTTCATATTATTGACAGTGTTTGTGACTGTGGTGGGGAGCTGTTACTGCAGCTTACTGTACTGTGGTGTCTGTAAAGCTGAGGTTTCAAAGCAAACAGTTTCCACATATGCAGTATATTTACTCTCAAGTACACATGCACGCATGACCAAAAGCATGTATAAATGTCCATCACATGCACGCATGACCAAAAGCATGTACAAATGTCCATTATATATATATATATTGTGTTTTCACAAGTCACAGAAATGAACAAAAAGTTGCGCATAAGGTTTCACAGCTTCTTGATGCCAAGTTCATTAGATGCAGTGATGCAATAGAGGTTTATGGGACTTGTAAGAAACAGCGCAGTTTTGGGTCAGTTTATAGTCAGTGCTAGGAAAAAGTCTGCAAAGTCAAACAGCTGCTTCAAAGTTCAATGTCAAAGTAAGTTTCATAGAAGATCTGGAAAATTTGTAGCTGCAAAGATGAGGCCTGAACTCAACCTAGCCTAGCCCAGCAAACCTGACACCACTGAAGTTAACCTGCTAGCTTGGCTAATACACAGTAGTTTGAGGTGATGCGCTCTGACAAAAGGCATGAATTGCATTTTGGTCTACGTTGCGAGGGTATGTTAAGAAGGAGCTGAATGAACTCGAGAGACGATAAACAAGGCCTGGGAAGAGATCGGATTAATTTGTGACTGTGACTACCTGACTAAGATAGTTAATAAGAGAAGAGCTCAACCTGCAAAAAAAAGTGGGTTCTCGTCCACCAAGACGAGGTTAGCAGAGTTCCAGGATCCTGCAGTACAGTCTTGGCGAGGTTAGAGGACAATTGTTTTTAGCTGTCCTCCAACCCTGAGCGGGTAGGAGAGAAACTCTGCTTTTTGTCGCAACCCCCAAGAGACCCAATCACAATGTCACGATCTAAATGTGGCTGATCCCTCCTGACGTGACAGACTTTCAGCCAATTATAAGCATTTTAGATGATATTAGGAAAGTAAACTCGTAGTAGGAATGCCTTGGTTGAAGTACCCTGTGAAACTTCAAAGAAACCCAACCCCCCCTTCTAACCATTTATCTTTGTCTTGATGTGGAAGTGGATTTCTTATGTATGTTCGAGGGTTGTATGTTGTACAGGCCGTACATGACAGACAGAAAGAAAGCAAATGGAAACAAAAGATAACAACCCTTAATGTGAAACTGTAACCCAGTGCAGTGAAAAGAAGCTAAAAGTTATTGGTAAAATCTGAAGGGAAACAATTCAAGTGGACTTTTGGCAAGACACGCATCTCTCTAACTCAGAACATGAACAACTAAAAAAGAATGGGATTCATGAACATATTTTCCTCCTCCCATGAATCTGTATAAAAGAAGGGAGTGGCGATCTGACTCTGAAATAAATTACAGTTTCAACTAACAACACACATTAAAGATAACAGAAAAGCGATAACAATCTGTGCATATTTTCAGCGTAGTACAGTCAGGTTCCGTCTGAGGAACTGGTTCTCCAAATCCACGCTGGAACGCAGAGCTGGACTCGGTTCAAGTGCGATGATTAATGCATCAGGTACCAAACACAAAGACGCTCTTGTGGTGAGGGGATGTGTTGTGAGCACGCCATTCCTTGAAGAAAAAAAATCCCCTCTTCTCTGCCTGGTGGAAGCCAAACTCTGGAGACCCGAGTGTTTAGAGAAAAAGTGAAATCATAGCTGCATCATATCCATGTGTTTCCTCACTGTGTGTGTGTTTGTGTGTGCATGTCTCTCCGTGTGTGTGGTTGCTTTGTTTGTGCTGAAACCCAAGCAGCTGCTGTGTTTAAAGGCTACAGGGAGTTTTTGCTTCTGGGCAGAATATCAGTTCAGCTTTTGTCTGTTGTGAATGGGATTACGTGGAGCGTCCAGCAGAGGCCTCGCTGCTGCATTTGTGGTTCATTAGTACACCTTTTTTTTTTTTTTTTTTTTAAAGTCACACCTCACAGGGTTTGAACGCACCATGAAAGGAAACTGTGATAAAAGCCTGTGGAGCTGCTGCTCCCAGGATGCACTGCAGCTTCATATTTAACAGACTCATTGATTTGGCATTCGATTCGTTTCATGACGTAATGCATCATCCCTGACATCAAGTCCATGAAGAGTATGGACCTTTTGATCCCATGGGGACAGTGTCTCCGTCACCATGGTAACAAAAGAAAACTTTAAAACTTGGTGTTGACGGGTGCAGTGGATTTATTATTTGTGATTCACTTCACAAATGTTTTTTGAAACATTTCAAATTATCAAAAACCTGTGGTGATGACCATGTGATCAATACCTTAACAAAGTATTTGATTTGTTTCATTTATCTGTAATACATTTATATAAATATTTATGTCCTCGTTGGTGACAATTAGCTTTTTTTTTTTTAAACTGCCAACTCTTGGGGGAAGGGGAGTGAACTGTGTGTGTGTGTGTGTGTGTGTGTGTGTGTGTGTGTGTGTGGTCAGTGATGGTGGGTCCAGCTGTGATGGTAATTGAGGCAAACAAAGTGAACAATTAGCAGCACAGTGGTTAGCCTCGCACCCCTGCCAACGACCATCGTTCGAGGAAACAGGGAGGAAACTGTAGGATGGTGCGTTCACTGACCCTTTGCTCCGACCTGACCACAGAAAACACAAATGGACACTTGAAGACGATGTTATATTTTTTGTTGTGTTTCTAAAATCCTAAAAACTTTTATTTCCATTAACTCTCCGTCAGGTACATGTACTGGACAGATTGGGGCGAGATCCCGAAGATCGAGCGAGCGGGGATGGACGGAACCAATCGATCGATGATCATCGATAAAGAGATTTATTGGCCCAACGGTCTGACGCTGGACTACAGCCAACAGAAACTGTACTGGGCTGATGCCAAGCACAACTTCATCCACCGAGCCAACCTGGACGGTTCCCTCAGGTGTGAACCACACACACACACACACACACACACACACACACACCTTGAACTCCAACTTTTATTTCGTAATTTTTTAACAGATATAAGCAACAACCTATATCATCAACATATTAATAAAAATATTATTTAACACAAGTAATTCAAACAGAAATTCAAACTTTGTCACAGTCAGTCAAACAACAACAAAAAATGAATGGCTGCGTACAGCCCTGTAGGGGGCGCACATCACGTATGGCTAAACTGTGTTGTCAGATCGTACTGCATTCATCGTCCTGTGTGTGTGTGTGTGTGTGTGTGTGTTAACAGGGAGGTGGTGGTGAAGGGTGAGCTCCCTCACCCCTTCGCTCTCACCCTCTACGAGGACACGCTCTTCTGGACCGACTGGAACACGCACTCCATCCACTCCTGTTGGAAACAGAACGGCGGCGGACAGCGGGTCGTCCACTCCGACATCTTCTCGCCCATGGACATCCACGTCTTCAGCGCCAAGAGACAACCTGCCTGTGAGTAACTGTTGCTACACGCGGAGTCGAACCTCCTGACGTCTGTGATCCACGTAGATGTAACGGTTCAAACCCGTGTGTTACAGTGAACAGTCCGTGCTCGGTGAACAACGGCGGGTGTTCTCACCTCTGCCTCCTCTCACCGGCCAACTCTCAACACACCTGCGCGTGTCCCACTGGAGTCCAACTGCTGGAGGACGGGAAGACCTGCAGGGACGGTAAGAAAGACGCTTTAGAAAACTGTCTGTGGGAGAAACCGGTTGGATTTTGGTGTTTCTGTTTTTTTGTTTGCTTTAGAAAACTGTCTGTGGGAGAAACTGGTTGGATTTTGGTGTTTCTGTTTGTTTTTTGTTTTATTGAGCTATTGCCTCCCAGGTTACAACTTCTATCAAGAGTCAATTTTATTACAGAGAAACTATTTAACTTTTCAGGGTGGAAACAGGAAAAAGCTGTGAAATACGTCAGTGGACATCATGTCGAGATTTTCTGTGTTTTTTCCCTTTTCTTTAGAAAAGCAAAAAGAATTTAGACCAAAGTGGCATGTTGAATTCATTATTCTCTGTGTGTGTTGAGGACCATTTCTGGCATTATTAGTCAAAAAGGTCTGGTCCTTATCAGACAGAACCTGATTAAAATGACATTAGATCCAATTTGAATGACGTGTGATTGAAGCTTTAGGTCTGTATCTGTTGGGTTGTTTGTCTGAGGGTTAACCTGCATTTTAGAGTTTAAAAAAAAACAAACTTAATTTCCTGTTGTGGTTGGAAATGTTTCTGTGTGAAAAGTGAAGCCCGTAGGTGGTACTGGTTCACCCCGGAGAACGGGGAGCTGCTGTTAAAAACCAAAGAAAAAACCGCAGCAGAGTCAGGGTGGGGTCAGCTTAT